TTAAGTTGGTGTGGGTGTACTCTTGAGTCACTCAAAGGTCTTAGTTATTTATCAGCTTTAGCTGGTGGTGCTCAAATGTCACAGTTGTTTGTGAGCCTAAGATGGTTAAAAGCAGTTAGAGTGAAACGGCCCCAACAGTTTGAGATCTTCAGCGAGGTGCTGCTCTGATTGGGAACGTTTCCTTTTTTATTGTATTAATTTGCCGTGGTATTTGTATCCCATTGGATAAGTTTACAAGAACGGTAAAACAGTTTTATTTTAAAATTTCTCTAGAAATAATGAATATTTTTCTAGAAATAATGAACTTGCATCTAACTTCTGAACATTTTAGATATTAAATCTAGAAAACATTTTAAATTTTTTAATGTTTTTTAAAATTTGTTTTTGAGAGAGAGAGAGACAGCGTGAGCAAAGTAGGGTCAGAGAGAGAGGGAGACACAGAATCTGAAGACAGGCTCCAGGCTCTGAGCTGTCAGCACAGAGCCTGATGTGGGGCTTGAATCCATGAATCGTGAGATCATGACCTGAGCTGAAGTCAGTTGCTCAACTGACCAAGCCACCCAGACGCTCCTAGAAAACATCTCAGGTATTAAATCTAGAAATCAAAAGTTTTAGAAAGTACTTGAGCCAAAATGCTTCAAGTTCTGTTTTGAGATAAATATTGACTTATTTTTTATCATTCCCTTGATAGGGAATGTTAAAAAAAGTTTGCCTTTTGCAATACTTGGTGAATCTTGGACATGGAAGTGATACAGGGAGGTTTGGTTTGTTTTGTTGTTTAAAGGTTTGGAGGCAAGGGCAGTACCCACAATTGTATTGGATAAAATGAAGTCAAACAGGGACTCAGATAATGGTCAGGACATTGCCTAATCCACACCTCTGTTAAAAGCGTAAAGAGTAAAATAATTTCAGTTCATTGCAGATAAAGCCCGTTTATTCTGGTTTAAGCCAAGGCTGTGGAGCTGAGTGCCCTGGGTATATCCCCTAGATTGCAGAAGAAAAAGAGACAGCAAAGTCTTAGCTGCTCAGTGTAAATGTTGTTTAAACTTTATTCCAAAGGACTCAATTCTATTAAAAAAATCAACCAAAAAAATGTTCATGGCCTTTATAATTCTGAAGTCCATTAGATCTAAAGTGTCTGACCTTCACATCCCTATTGTCCCTTTTGATAGTGATGCACAAAAGTCTTTACAAATCCTAGTCAGCTGAAATTCAGTAAGGGCATCTGTCAGTACCATAATATTAGATTTGGGCCAGCATTTTAAAATGGGTAATTAGGAATCTGGCGCTTTTTGCTGTGCTGAGATCCCGGCCAAAATCTCCCCATTGCAGGTGGTCTGTGGGAACTTGGTGCATGAAGGCTTTGATGTGGTTCTATTTATGTCTGTATGTTGGACAATAACCCTGAAGCCATAGCTGCTGTGACTGCCAGACTAGCATCCAAAGCAAAGAACAGACTTCGTTTCCAAGGGACCCACTACAACTCTGTATGAGCAGAGTGCCCAAAGCCCTAGTTGTTTGTTTCTGGTATCATCCTGGCTGTTGGGACTACAGTGAACTGTGTCTATCTCCCTGAAGCCAGAAGGCCAATATTCAGTAGAGGGGTGGGCTAATACATATACTCTATCAAATAGAGTATTACTAGTCCTCTTAATCATTGGAGGACTTCATCACCAAGGTGGTGGGAGAGGTTCCTGTTGATAGGTCTTAGCAATAAAAGTACTCTTTCATTTATATTTACTGTGTTGTAAAGATCTTTCAGGTACCTTATTTGTAACTTAAAACTATTTTTGTGGTGTAGGAGAAGTTTATATTTTTATTCTTATTTTCAGGTGAAAGGAGAAACTGGAAGTGTTAAGTAATTTGCCTAAGATCACCAGGGCAATAATTAGAAGATCTGAGAATTAGTCTTAGCTCTCCATCTCTCCATCAGCTTCTATTTGATATACATTCATCTGTTCTATGAATTGATAGCATAGTGACTGGGTAATAGTGTTTAAGACTCTGTCCACCAATACATTTGGCACAGACAGTCCGACTTCTAGTTGGGGCCACTGCTATTCTGTCACTAACTCTATCATACTAGTTTTTAGCCATGCAACATGTCAATGTCACAGACTCAAGAAATGAAAGTTAGAATCCCAGTATGCTTCCCATGCCTATAGGAGCTGAGGAAGGGTGCAGTAAGGGGCATATTTTCAGGTGGTTTGGGTTAGAATTTTAAGGTCTGGATAGCATAAAATTTGTAATTGGATCATGATGTGGTAGCAGCGACTTTCTAGAAAAAATACCACACCTATGATTTTCAAAGAACTATGTTGAATTGTAGAGACCTGTCAGGAAATATTATAAGGGCTTCTCTCAAAGAGCTCATAATTGCATTGGAGAGATAATTCATGTGCATATAATATAGCCAGCACCTTGGGGCAGCAGTTCATCAATGCTGGGTGAGGGCCAAGTAGAAAGGCTTATATTCTGGGAGAAGCCATCACAGTGGATTGAGGTGACCTTAGAAGACTTGGATTTTTGTAGTGTAATAAAGTTCAGATGTTGTATGTGAAATTGTGGTAGGCCTTCTAGATGGTGGCTTGAAGAGAACAGAGGAAGAAAATGGGCAAAAGCATGGAAATGAATAAAGCATGTTGAAAATATAATGAAATCAATCCCACTAACCACAGGAATTTATAACAGTGAGACATGGGAGATTGGTGTAGAAAAATTGGGAAGATCATGGGTGGCTCTAGATGCCGGTATGAATAGTTGATCCTGTAATCTTGAGGAAAGAAGTAGTTAGTTGAGTATTTTGAGATGGACACTGATATGTAAGAAGCAGCATTTTTCTTGCGGGTGGTGCCCAGGATAGAATGAGGAATATAGGGGAAAACAGACCATCCCCGGAGAAGCAAATTAGAAAGTGGAGCAGACATCCACATGTAGGATCTGTGGAGCCTGATGGCTGCTGGACATGGGGTGCAGGATAGAAGGACCTTGGGACCCCCTGCACAGGCCCCACGCCAGATAAGCAGACTTGCTCTTGGCTGCTGGCTTCCTTCCTCACGCAGTCACAAGTTGTTCCTATGGCTCTAAAGAAAAGTTTTATTCATCTCTCTCTTTTGCCCATTCCATCAAGAGTGCCTTGAAAGATGATGAGGAGCTTGGCCAATACCTCCCATGTGAATTCATTCCTTCATATTTGGTGCCATCATATGTCACATTGACTCCTATTGAATGGAATTCTATCCCATTGAATTCAAAAGACCTGTATCCCTAACCCTTTGGTCCCCGGACTTGGTGTCCTCTCTGTAAGCTGTTGCTGTCAGGCAGTTCTAAATCTCCTTGCTGGGAGCTTTGTGGGCTGTTGCTGGCCACACAGCACTGAACACCACACCCGTCCTAATAATTCAGTCCAGGTGTGTTTTATAAACAGTGTATCGTTTCCTGGAGAAAATGATAGTAGTGACAGAAAGAGGCACTGCTTGGGGAGAGCTGAGTGTGTCAGGGTCCCTAAGACCACCCGTTTCAAAGAGTCATTAGGATCGTTCCTAGGACTCAGTATCTATTACAGCTGTGACTTATCACAATGAAAGGACCCAAAGCAAACTCAGCAAAAGAAAAGGCACATGGGGCAGAATCTGGAGGAATCTGGGTGCAGGCTTCTGAAAGTCCTAACAGAGTTGCCCAGGGTGTGCTTAATTCCTCCCATACGAGTTGTGACAACACTTGTGAAGAATGTCTACCTGTCTCATTAGAGGCTCAGTGCGCAGAGCTTTTCCTGGGGGCTGGTTACATAAGCACATTCTGCACGGCACATACCCACATCCCAGACTCCCAAAAGGAATGCAGGTGTTCAGCATAAACCACATTGTTTGTACGAACATTTTAGGTGCAGTGAACTACTCTTGACTGTTTGGGGGAACTGGGGGACCCCTGTGGAAGTCCCAGTTTCTAGATGCCAGCCAAGGGCCAGCCTGGTCACCACCATGCTGTGTTCACTCCTCTGCACTTGGAATGACTGTTATCACTTAAGTTGCTGAGAAAGGGATATTGATAGAGAGATTTTTCAAAATCCAGGAGAGTCTGATGTTAAGGCATGTTTCTGGAAGTGAGATTTGAGTTTGGAGCAAAAGGAAAGGATTTAAGGAGGAATCACAGAAGCAGAGAAAACTGTCGCATCTTTGTGTTTTCTTTTGATCACTTTACAAAATCCCCTTTATAATTTTTTTGTCATTGCTTTGCATTAGTGTATTTGAGTTTAGATGTCACAGGCAGATAGAAATGGAAGAGCTTGGGAAAGGCTAAACAAAATTCTTTGAGCATTACTGTGTACTTACTTCTCTCTGTTAATTCTTTAAGGATAGCAACAGCCAAAAAGTCTCTTCAGTTCTTGATGGAAAAGTAATTCTGTTTGTTCATTTAAAAGGATTGTGTTTGCTATTCCATTAATCTCATTGCTGCTTGCTGGTGAAGAATAAAAATTGAAAGCTGCTTGTTTTGGGTCTCAAGAGGGATGGAGAAAGTGATTAAAACTCCCCCTGCACCCTTGGACTCTTCCCAGACCCCTGCTTCTAGGTCCTAACTCTGATAATTTATCTCTCTGTGGGTTCTCCGATGTTAAGGTTGTACAGAACCTCTGAGGTGGCTGTCCATCATGAAAAAGAACTATGTGGACCAATAGTGGCTTTTGTTTTGCTTATAATAAAACCCTATCCAAACCACATGTATTTGGGGAAAAGAAACAACTCTTTTTGTGGCTGACTTGAGTACATAGTGGCACAGCAAATATTGGCGCCTCCTCTCACACTCCAGATGATTCAGGAGTGGGAATCTCTTACATGGCAGAGGTGGATGATGTAAGTGCTGAATGTGGCATTGGCAGTCCCACTCACCTTGAGTGGTGGGGACACTTCTGGCCTTCCTCACTTCATCGAACTTCAGGAGGACAAATGTGTGCTGTGTTTGAAGTGGTCTTAAATTCTCTATCTCTTGTCCTAACCTCGCAGGGCTTCCAGCAAAAATTCTCCTTCCACAGTAAAGAGATTGTGGCTATCAGCTGTTCCTGGTGCAAACAGGCGGTAAGTTTGGGAACGAAATGAAACAAAGTGCACTCATGTTTTATTAAAATGAATTATGTCATTAGTTGAGTTGCTGTCTGTAAGCGAAGGTCATCCTAATTTATGTATGATTTCTCTCACATAGTATCCTTGAAGGATTAGATTAAACTATAGGAGAACTCCTCTATGAAATGGGAGAAACTAGAGATCAAGTAACCCTTTAATTTACACACATATCATAGTTTGCCGATCACAAATAACTGATGGTAGGGGAAATTACTAATTTATTTTGTATTTATACTTAATTAGTAACATTCTACTGGGTCACATCAGACCTTGAAGATAGGCAGGAATGAAGACAAATTCCCTCTGTGACATGATTGGGGTGGCCATATTTGCCAGCTTTCCTGAGATGGTCCTAATTTATGTCTGTTGTTCCAACATAATTATTGTTAGTGCTCCCTTTCATTCTTAAAATTGTTCCAGTTAAGATGACAAATTATGGTTCCATTAAGTATAATATAGTAGAAACTGATGTTAAGGTGACAAATTATGGCTCCATTAAGTATAATACAGTAGAAACTGATGTTAAGGTTTTTAAAAAATCCCTGATTAAAACGTTAAGGCCCTTAATCATTGTATAATGTGGATTTTGTTTATTAGGAAAATATAATTACCACACAATCACTTTACACACAAAAGATGATTGAAATTGTGATTGGCCTATGGTCACTTAGTCTACTCTTACAGAGTTTAATCACTAATCCCTAACTATTGTTATGGTCATCAGTCTACATTTACTTTCCTCCTATCAAAAACAGGAAGCATTTTAGATTCGCCAAGTGCAATAGGTTCATTCTAATTTTTAGCGGCCCCAGACAAACCGCACAGAGGCAATCTCTTTTTTGCCTCCTGAATTAAGAACTCTCTAGAAGACACCTCTTGCTTCTTTCCTGGGTTTCCTAAACTGGGACTACCTGGGATCGATTTACAGGTATGATTAGCGAAAAGAGAGGCAGATGAGAGAAACTGCCTTTCTGCTTGCCTTTATTTCCTCCTCAACATCATTTCCCACCAAGTCTGTGACCAGTCAAGTGCAACAAAATTATATGTACGGTTAGGATTCATAGAACCGTCCAAGGCCTCGTTATATAAATATCCTATTAAAAGCTTATAAAGTTTTAGCTCGCCTTCACCTACACAATTGATTTCTTTATCTGTTTGTAAAGTGGAACGAATTCAGAATCTGCTCAGTTCTGGGGCTGTTTGGGTAGTGATAAGGAGCATGTGTCCTCAGTGTCCCTGTGTGAGCGAGGGTACGCATGCGCATGTCCTGATTCCTTGTGCACATGTATGGTTCCTGGAATTGTTTATTGGCCTGTTTTTCTCCTCAGTTTCACAATAAGGTGACCTGCTTCATGCTCCATCACATTGAGGAACCCTGCTCCTTGGGGGCTCATGCTGCTGTTATTGTCCCGCCTACCTGGATCATTAAGGTGAAGAAACCTCAGGTAACTTCTGGGACCCTGGTGCTGCTGGGCCTGTGCAGAGAAAAAGGAACTGCTGCTTCTTGCTTTTCTCGTCCTGACTTTTTTTGGGGGGGGGGGTTCCTAAAATCTCTGCTCACTCATCCCCACAGCCCCATGCTCAGCTTCCCCAGTTCATTCCATTAGCCCATCACTTTACTGCAGTTGGGCTCTCTCATGGAACCAGCCTCCCTTTCCTAAAGAAATCAAAGTTCCACAGCAGGAATGTTTCCTTCCCATTCATGTGCTAATGATACTCTCTTTGGGTGTTCTCCTGAGTTCATTAACTACAAGTGGTGGGTGCAGCTAATTTCTTACACAACTCTCTTTTCTTCCAGCCTGGGCATCCCCAGGGAGTGAATGTGAGGGCAAACTGTGCAGGCTTCCGTGTTTGGTTGAGATTACCACCACTTCCAACCTGACCGGCAGACTGTGGGTCATGACCTTCCTAAATACACAAGGCCTGCTCAGAGAGCAACACTCTTTTCTTAAGGCAAAGTAGAATTTATCCTCTTAATACCTAATCTCATTCTGTATTCAATTCTTGTCGCACATTCTGTCCTAAAGCGTCTCTGCGATATTCTGGGAAACCTAGGTGGTTTCTCAACAGGGTCATAATCTTTGACAGCAAAACTTCTACCTTTGTACTAGACATCTTAGACCATTAGCTCTAGGGTGTGGGGTGGCAGACTTTTAACGTGACGGGGGAAAGATGGTACCTCTCCCAGGGATGCAGCTACCATAGGATGTCCTACTGAATGTAATATCTTTATAAACTGTGGCAGTCCTACTTTATGTGGTCTTTAGAATCCTCATGCATTTTATTCTCAATGACTCAGTTTTATTTGAAAAACTGGTGGATCATGGACACTGTTTTGCTTTGTGTGTTTTTATATAAAGTTCAGCTTCCATTGATGAGTAACACTTGGTAATAATCTTGCCATGTTACAATCCATGAAAGCCCTTGGGAAATCTTTTCCAGAGGCAAGTGCAATATCTGTACATTAAAAAATGGGACACTTAGCTTTTTCATCTTGCATTTTAGAGCCAAACACTAAGAGCTGTTAAATGAATTTACCAAGGTGATGGCGACTATAGTACTGTGTTTGAAATTCAAGTGTCCTGATGTCTAAGTTAGTGTTAATTTAAAAAAATCTAACCTTTTTACTTCTTTACTACCCTTTGGTTCCCCAATCCCTAAAATTCAGTAATCTATCCAAGAGCTTTATATTAAATTTTCAGTTCAATCAGTATGTTTTCACTGAAGACCTTGATGGTTTCGGGAAAGCTCCTAGGCACTGTGATGTAATGTGGTGATCCTTGCTCTGAAGAACTGTGTAGTTCTCTTAAGAAAAGATCAGGGAGAGAGCCTCATGAAGGAAGTGGGTTTTATTCTACCTTTTTAAAGATGGGTGGGATTTAGATCAATGGAGAAGAGAAGAAATAAGCAGGAGAATGACACAAGCAAGGATGCTGTGTCCAAAATTATACTCATGAGGCTGTGAGACTAGTTTGCACTACAGGGGTGGTGGCATATTTCTGTGGTGTTACTTTAAAAGGAACAGAATATGAGATTGTTCACTCTTAGCTCTAAGATTGATCAATGAGTTCTGGAACTCTCCTTTTAAGCTATCTGTTATGAAGTTGTCCATCAGCCTTTCACTTGTTTTATCCATTAAGGATTATCGCCTAACTCTATTATTTTATTAGAGGTTACCAAGAGGTGTTTTTTCTAATTTTTACTCTTCTTTATTTTTCTGCTGGTAATAAGGGAACTAAAAAATAAAGCAAATACATGACAAATGCTTGAGTATTTACCTTTATTTGTACATTTTCAGAATAATTAGTTGGTACCTTAGCAACTTGATTAGTTGGCTAAGGGGGGTGGTAGTGGTGGTTTTTCAAGAGTATCTTTATGAATTATTAACTTACCTCATGTGAGATAGGTAATACATGATGTTTCAATCCATTGGCATCATTTTTTAAAATATTCATATTGTTTCATCTTTTACCGGTTAGAACCCCTTCCAGATGGCTCTTATCTCCACTTTTCATAAGCCATGATGTTTTTGATTCCTTCCTTTGTTTCACAAAACACACCATGTTCCAGGATCATCTAATGCATTTCCTGTCCATACCTTTTTTTTTTTTTTAATTTTTTTTTTTAATGTTTTATTTATTTCTAGGAGAGAGAGAGAGACAGCGTGAGCAGGGGAGGGTCAGAGAGAGAGGGAGTCACAGACTGAAACAGGCTCCAGGCTCTGAGCTGGCAGTCAGCACAGAGCCCGACGCGGGGCTCGAACCCACGAACCACGAGATCATGACCTAAGCGAAAGTCGGACGCTCAACTGACCAAGCCACCCAGGCGCCCCTTCCTGTCCATACCTTTAAGCAACCATTTCTCTAAGGAATCTTGGTTATTTTTTAATGGAGGATGGTATATACAGCTCACCGCCTGGATGCCTGAGTCCAGATTGTTTTCATCACCCATGTTTTTGTTGTCCTTCTGTGATTCAGAACAGTGTAATAATAAGAACAAGGAAAGCTAACACTTATGAATGCTGTTATATGTATTAGGAAATATTTTAAGTAATTCACATTCAGTATCTCATTTTCCCATCACAGAACCCTATGAGGCAGGTATCCTAATCCCATGTTGTGGCTGAGAAAAGTGAGGAATTGAAGTCAAATAAATTATCCAGGGCCATATAGTTATTAACTAGTTTGAGGTAATGTTTGAATCCAGGAACTCTGATTCTGGAAGCCAAGCTTAGCTGCTGCCTCACTGTCTTACTATAGCAATCCTTGCTGAGTCACCTGTCTTTAAAAATTTTGGTATCCCTCCTCTTATGGACTCCCCCAAAAAAGTAATTAACTAAATTATATTTGAAAGCCATAATATGTTGAGCTTGGGGGACAGTGCAGTAGTGCTTAAGATCTCTAGCTTATGAGTCAGACTGCCTAGATTCACAAGCTTGCTCTGCTAACTAATAACTTATACAATCTCAAAGAATTTAAACTCTTCAACTTTTCACCTGCAACATGTAAATAATACTAGTACCTAATTCATAGGGTTTTCATGAGGTCTAATGAGCTAAAAAATTAAAAAAATAAAGCACATAGAACAGCACCTAGCTCACTCTAAAACTCAATAAATGTTAACTCTTGTTATTTTCCTTATTGAGTGTAGGATATTAAATAAGGTTCCACATCAACAGATGAGAACCTTGAACAGTCACACAAGGGTCAGGACAGAAGTTATTGTTCCCTGACTCATCTGTATTACAATGAGAGAAAATGGGAAAAGAAGGATTCTTATGAGAAGAGAGGCAGTATAGGGGCCACAGCCCGGTGTCTGGTGTGCTCTTGAGTACCCCTTGAAATGCCACTGTAACTGTTGTTTTATATACTATAGTGGGATCGTGTGTTCACTAGCATGATTCTTATCCCATGGGAGAGAGTCAAGAGCTATTCATTTACTGAACTGAAGAACTGAAGCAGAATGGGTGAGCATGTACAACCAGAAAGTGAAAGGAGGAAGAGAATCCTACAACACAGGGAAAGAACTATGATAGCATAGAGTTTCATTATTAAAAATTGAAAGAAAAATAGGGCAGTCATCCATGTTAAATTCTGAAGACATTAAAAAGTCATGGGTTGAGAAAAGTCTCTCTGTGTTTGGGACTAGATCATTGATGACCATTGAAACTATAGTTTGTGGAATATGGGTGGCAAGGTGTTAGTGATGATGTGGAAGCAATGTGGGGACATTGAGAAATGATTTTAAAAAGAATTTGGAAATTAGGTGGAGAACAGAAGACAAAATGTTTTTCCTACCTGTAGAATTTATATTTTTTTTCTGTATATTTCTATATTGGAGGATACTGCTTAAAAACAAGAAGTTATTCTTAACTGATTGAAGTAGATATTTAAGTACATTCACAGATGCCATTATATGCAGTGGGAAGTTCAGGATGAATCCGTTAGTCACCTGATGTCAACAAAGAGTGGACATAGGAGAGTGAACTAAATCATTAGGCAGAGAATTTGTGGATTCTGGAAGAGGAATTCAGCCACATGTAAATCCTTAATAAAAAGAGTGGTCTTCACATAACTGGAAGGCTTGCATTTGTCATCAGTGTGTATCTTTTAGGAGAGATCCACATGGAATGGTGACAGGAAGAGGCCCCACATGTTGGCTCAACCAGCCATGGTCTGTGAGAGGCCAACACATCTTGGGCAGGGAGTGGTAAGTGTGACCTGAGATGTAGGGACGAGGCAGAAACATGAAGTAGACTTGAGCGGTTTGGGTTGTGGTGGTCATTGTAGGTGAAACAGAAAATGTTGTTTGTGCCTTATCTTGAAGTATGTGAGGGACCTCACTGGGAAGAGGGATGAGGAAGGACAACACAGGTTTATAGAACATACTGAAAGCAACAGTTAGGATGGATCATCAAATAAAGCCAACTTTACTTGTGATGTTTATGTCTAAACAAATGACTCCAGAGAGGAAGAAACCTACTTTGAGTGTATAATGGTCAGGAAAAGCAGGTTGTAAAGAGGTGGAATTAAACCTTGTATTTTCCTTATCTGTTAAAAGATGGCTGCTTCTGGGTAGATCATCACTCTGTGACCAGCTGTGTGAAGCTTTGATGGTAAGGGGAATGAGGGCTGGTCTGGATGATTTGCTGGGTTTCATCACCAAATTATTTGGAGGGACCTAGAAAATAAAAGATGATGAATTTTAGATGACAGTAAAAGTAAAAGAAAACCAAGTTTTAAGAACCAAGCACAAATCTGTTCATGCATTTAATAAAGTCAAAGTTATATTTAATGTTACAGATGTCAGTGTTTCTCTTCTGGACAGAAAATGTTAGAGGATAATATTTTGATCAGGTAAACAAATTAAAGATGTTGAATTACTAGTGAAAGCATTTGGAGTTGATGGAAAAAGACCTGTGTTACATGAATTTTTTGTGGGGTCAAGTGATAGGAGACTAGAGGTATGTGTTTTTAATAAATGACATTATTCTGTACATAATACTTTAAAACTGGCCTTTCCTAATTAAAAAAAAATCTTGGAGAAGAGTCTATATTAATACATCTAGATTTAACTCTTTTTTTAAACCACTGTATATATTCCATACTGTGAATATATTGCAGTTTATTTAACCAATTCCCTACTGCTGGATATTTGCATTATTTCTAAGGGTCTGCTTATAAAAAATTCTGCAGCCAACTCCTTCCTAGCCTCTATGGGCTTTCTTCATGTTTCTTCACGTTCTTGTTCCTTATGATTGGATAACGCTAAAATGCTGGAGACTGAGACCCAGGACATGTAACAGTTTGACCAACCGTATCTATCAAAATTGCTCAAGCCATTTCCTTTGGTCAGCTCTAAAGGTTAGGTAATACTTGCTGTGATTTAACCAGCCTGATATGCCTGAGAAATGGCTGAGACTCTGTCCTTATCTTTTGGAATTGGTTTTCTTTATTTCTCTGCTTGCCAATCCTCAGAACAACTTCAGTCCCAGTGTTACGGCTAGAGCAGGGCAGAGGAAGAACGCTCTCTAATGAAGAAGTCCATGCCTCTCCTATAGTCCATCAGAGTTTTGTCTGGGGTACTATGGGAGAAGGCTGCATTTGGGATGATGAAGTGTGAGATATCTTCTCTTTAGATCTCTTGTTATAACCACTCCTTTGGAATTCCATAACCTGGGAAAGTCCCTGAAGGGTAATAACAAGTAGTTAAGTTTTATTCACAGTTGAGTGATTTACCCACAGGCATTCTTCAACAGCCCAAGAAGGAGTGCTAACTATGATAGAGACTTTGTTGGGATTATTCCTGTAGCAAAATAATACTGCCTCAGCACCTGGTAAAAACAACAATAAAAGACCTTTATCTATTCTTAGGGCTTTAACAAAAGAGTGGGCACATAACATACAGTGGGCAGATGTGGTTAGAATCTGAAGAATGCAAAAATCCACATAAGGGTACAACATTTCACTGTTTGGATGGTATTGAACTTGCTCAGTGAACCCTTTGTATCACTGAGTTAGCTGCCCTGGATGACAGGGATGCTTTGTTTTAGGACACAGTACAAGCACCGATGGTTTCTTAAATAATAGCACCAACAATTCTACAAAATAACTTCTTGGCATACTTTTTATGTTCTTGAAAAGCATGCTGTTTTAACTCTCACAACAAGACTGACCCAGGCAGGATGAGCAATATCTTAGATTAGCAAGACGAGGTGACTTATCTTGTCATGGCTGAAACACAACCCAAATCTGCTTTCACATCCATCTGTTCCTCATTGGATGATGATACTTTCTAAAAGAAGTTCTAGGTTGAGACTGAGATACATATTTACACATGAACAGAAGGAAGCCTTGAGAATTTTAAGGTGTGCTGTGAAATTCCATACTGCTTATCTTTTGCTCTTTGACTATCCATAGGGCTGTAAGCTTAACTCAGAGCTCACATAGAAGCTTCCAGGTACTGTAAGTCAGTCACTGCGCTTCACCTTGGCTCCCTTCTTGTTCTGTGAAATGAAGAGGACCTCACATGCATTTGGCTCCAGGAGACCCAGAAGCAATCGTATATGCTGCATCTGTGTTAAAAAAGGCCATTTTGTATGTCTGTTCTCTATTAGAGTTGAGTTCCTTGCCTGCTCTGTTTTCAGACATCTAGCCTTCTTTTGATGTGTTTTGCTAACTCTGTTTCCCAAACATGCTTGATCAGCAGAATCACCTGTAGAGCTGTGATTTCTGTGAGGTGGCGAGTTTGGGAAACAATCTTAGCCTGATCCATTAGATTTATCTCTTAGGGTTTAGTTATTGACTCGTGCCAGGAACCAAGGCCTAGAGTGTGTTCCTGAAAGTACTTGGCTCCCTATGTTGCTCTGGGCAATAAACAACACAGAACTCTGAACTAAAACAACAAAGAAGTTAGGAGACAAGCATTCGCTTCTGGAGGATCCTTTCCAATATCAGGAAAGACTCAGTGAGTGTTGTGAATTATAATACTGATTCATTTCAACCATGATTTAATGCATACTACGTGCCAGGCATTTGCGCTCAGTGCTGGGGATATACCGCTGTGAATGAGGCCACATTCATGGAGGTGCTTCTCATGGGCTGATACCAAGCTAACTGCTTCACATACCTTTTCTCCTTTAAACTTCACAACTGTCCTGTGAGGTAGGTATTATCACCTTCATTTTAAAATTAAGAGATTGTCATTTCAAAAGCTTGACTCACTTGGCCAAGGTCATAGATCTCATAACGGGAAGACCCAGAACTAACATTCAGCACGTCAGATTCCACAGCTCATGCTCCTTACCCTGCTGGTATTGTGCTTCGGTGAAGTATGTATGTCTCCTCACTTTTCCCTTTGACTTCAGAGGCTCTCAGCGCTGGCTACACACTAGCATTGCCTGGGGAGCTTTTAAAAAGTATCTTTCCTTGGGCTTCACCCCAAACAGACGAGGTTTGGACGTCCACATATTGGCATTTTAAAAAGAACGCTGGATGAAGCCAATGTCCAGTGATTGGTTGAGAAACCATGCGGTATCATTCATTGCCATCCTGACAGTCTCTCTAGCATTCTTCTTGGGGCATTTGGTCAATTAAGTGTTTAAAATTTCCAGATGGTTTTTCTTCCCTTTTAAACAAAGTAGTTGAGATATGGGAAATACTTTAATAATGCAAACGTTTTTCCAGAGTTATACATGATAGTAGACCAACTTAAAGAGGGATTCAGAAACTTGTAGATCTTTTTGCAGGAGAAGTGTAGTCTGCAGTGAGTGGTAAGAAATAACCTAAGGTCTAAAGCAGCCATGAGCTTCTGGATCTCTCTCTTTCTCCTGGTGAGACTCAGAACCTGAAAACTCTTTCAATCTGATGGGGGAAGAAAACTTTGGGACAAATGGTGGTTTGAGAAAATTTCCTTCATCCTTGATGAAAACCAGCTATAGAGTAGCATAGTTCTTTATGGTCCATATGATAGTAAAACAAAAATTAAATAGTTTCAATCTTGCTAATTTGAATGTGTTAATATGTGTTCTCTAGAGTAAGGTTTAATTTGAACGTTCTATTAAAAAAATACCCCGCAAAGTAAAAGAGTAGATACCTAAGTTTCTTGAAGCTGTTTGAAAATCTTTAACTGCTCAAGCAATCCATGTGTATATGCTTATATAAACTTTTAAGTTAAGAATTCTGTGTTTCAGGCTTTCAACACTTGTTAAGCATCTGTGATGTGATAGTAACATCTTGCCTTTGTGAAGATGGCAATCTAAGTAATTATTGACTCTCCACTAATTAAACCAGTGAGTCGTGACTGTCCCCTAAGAGAGGTTCTTCCTGAAACGTCTGCATCATATACTGAGTTAGTTGAAGTAATCACAAAGTTGTGATAAAATTCTTAGAAAGAGAAAAACAGGGAAAGTAGGTTTGGGGGTCACTGTATTTCAACAAGTTGGAGGCACTTGTATGAGAAGAACAAATCAAGGCTACCAGGGAGGAAAGACTTTTTAAACCAGTAGGTCTTTAGAGAAAGGGAGCACTGACTATCACTCAGCTAATAGAAGTAACTTAAGGTGAGTCTTATCTCTGCATTTTAAAACGTAGCCATCAGTGCTGATACAATAGTTGTCATAATGTCCCATTAGGGTTGAATCACTATATGACTATTACTAGAAAGGTCATTACCAAAAAGAGTAAACAGAAAAAAAAAGAAAGAAAATAGAAAAACATGAAAAATGGCCTCCTTTTTTACATTTCCACATAGGTGATCTCCATACCAGGAGATGAACTTGAACTTGGTTGGGCGGGAGACGGACCTGGTTGGGCGGGAGACTGGAGCCCCTCAGAGAATTTGGGATTCTTCCATTTTTACTGGGAGGGTTGGCAGGTATAACATGTGTTGTTATGTGAGTCCATGAGAGCCTCCAGGGTTCTAACTCCCTGCCTCTCCGTGTGGTGGGGAGTCAGTCGCTCACTCTGAAGCACTCGACTGGTCTCTGTCTGTGGCTTACCCATGAACAGTGGCTTGGAAGTGTCAAAGCATGAGAAGCATGCGTGGAACAGCATGTGCTGCCCTCATCTCTACATGGTTCTGCATGGGAGGCTCCTGGGCTGTCTGCCTCTGAGCTCAGGTGTTTCCTTCTTTCCCTACAGAACTCGCTGAAGGCTTCAAATCGGAAGAAGAAGAGAACAAGCTTTAAAAGAAAAGCTAGCAAAAGAGGAGCTGAAGTAAGTGTTTCAGGACAATGTCCCAGTGAGTTACATCCTCCTTACTGTAGCCACTTCTGTCTCATGTGATCTGGCCCAAGCTTATTTTTCTGATCAGTTTTCAACCCTTTTTCCCTCCTCTACATTCTGACCACATTGCAATTCTCCCTTTCTTTAAAATGCCTCCCTCTCTCTAACCTCCTGCTACTTCAGAATCAGAGCATTTGCACCTGTCCATGGAAGTATTATCCCAAAGATGCTGAAGATGAAGATGAAGAGCTAACATTTCTAGAATGCTTGGAGTATACAGAATCAAATCAAAAGCATGCTTACTTCTCAGGGGAAAATTATAGCTTGAGATCTTTTGTCTAAGCTTTATGTGGACTGTCGTTTTAAGAGTAAGCCCTGTGAAACAAGATGTAGCTTTCTCATTCGCGGGGAGCAAGGGTTAGGGCTGGTGGGGGTGCCGGTAACTTCTCCCTTCCATTGCTTCCAGGCTACTTATCCACGTCATGGATGGAGGTCTCAATGGTGTTGCTTTCTTCCTTCAGCAGGAAAACAAAGGTCGACCTTTTGTGATAAAACCTATCTCTTCTCCTCTCATGAAGCCCTTGCTTGTCTTTGTGAATCCCAAGAGTGGAGGCAACCAGGTGAGTCATTTTCATGAATTTAACTTGGAAGCCTCAGTCCTGTCTTGAAAATAGTTCTCAACACCATTTAAAATAGCACCACCTAGGACAAGCATTGGAAGACAACTAGTTTCTCAGGGACACGGTTATTATTGCTGTGGTAGGGGACAGCCGTCCACATTTCAGGGTCAGGCTCTGTTCTATGCTTTATCCCTCAGCTTTCCAGTAAGGCAATACTAGAGGCACCCAAAAACCTAACTGCTCACATTTCCCTTAACAGATTTTCAAAAAGGTCATCCCCAAATCTCTTAGTTAATATGTTTAAGAGTTTCTTAAACTCTTAAAGATATCTGCTAGATATCTAGAGTGAGGAAGCTCTTAACGAACATCTCTTCATTGCCTCTCGTTGTAAGTTAGCCCTGACCACTTTTGTCCCTGTCCTCAGAGGAAAGTGAGAACAGTGACTCATCATTCTGAATGATCATTAACAACAAATGCCACGAATGCTATAAAAAAAATCACCTTCTAAAGGTTTCATTTGGTCTGTGCCCAAATCTCGTAGCATAATTAATAACAACCTCATTTGAGGATAAAGAAATAGCCTAAGAACACTCATGTGTAACGACATACCCAAAGTAACACAGATCTTTAAAGGACAGATTTTGTTCTTTGTCTCCTCATTATACTTCTCTTCCTACTCTGAGGCTTCTTATCAAGACTCTTCATTGGCTTTGATTTTTTTCTATTTTCATGTGAGATTGGATGCTAAAACATTTTCTCTGTTCACTGAGTGCGCATTTTACTTTTTGAGGTAAGGTTCTTCGAGGTTTCACACTTAACAAGTAAAGATTAGAAACTGTTCAGTTAAGATTAGAAACTGTTCAATTACCCCACATAAGGAGGGGACCACTATAATTAGGATTGACCCAACAGTCCAACATGATGTTCTTACTACTAAGGATGCTGGGCATTTCCAGACTGGATTAATTTACAATAAAGCTTCTCTTATGAGAGCTTGTGATATAAAGATAATATATTTTTTCTCTCTTTCTTTTAAAATTCTTGGTAACTTGTTCTGTTAAAAATCTTTGAATGTTGTGGAGAACAGGACAATGTGTTGTAAGCAGATATCTATTTTCAACATCTTGTTTTTTTAAATTAGTGAGTGATAATCTTCAAATGGGAATGATGGTGATCCTAAGACTGGATCTAATCACTGGAGGAGATTTTCAGAAGTGAGGTTCATTTTGCCCTGAACTATAGCCACTCCCTAGGTCTGGTCTCCTCATAGCCTAATGAAGGTTGGGGATATATTTGGGGACCACAGAACAGAACAAAACTAATGTAATGGACTATGTGATTTTGGTCTTTTGAGTACCACATGCTAATTGCCAATATATATTTCATCATGAGAGTCATTCTAGAAGATCCGCTCATTAAACTGCAAGTCTTTTTTCTAGGGCATTTGGTAGCTTGTAGGTGATCCTGCCCTCTAGGAGCAGACAATTCAGTAAAGATAGAGCCCATCCCTGCTGGAATCTCTGTGTAAATTGGTAATGCCACAGAGTTCAGAGATGATCTGATGTTGCTTCCTATTTCACTAAATAGAAAACAGCTCAAGAAAGCTTAAGTAAATTTTCTGTAATTGATTTCAAGTTTCAAAGCATTGTGATCTGACAGTGTGCATGGTATGACCTCTATTCTTTTATATTTATTGAGGGCTGCTTTATGTCCCAGTATGTGATCTATCTTGGAGAATGTGCCATGCGCACTTGAGAAGAAAGTAAATTCCCTGGCCTCAGGATGTAAAGTTCTAAATATATCCGTCAGATCCATCTGGTCCAATGTGTCTTTCAAGTCCATTATTTCTTTAGTGATTTTCTGTCTGGTTGACCTATCCATTGCTGTAAGCGGAGTATTAAAGTCCCCTGCTATTAGCACATTCTTATCTATAAGCTTGTTTCTGTTTGTGATTAATTGTTTTAGATATTTAGGTGCTCCCATATTCGGTGCGTAGACATTTATGATTGTTAGTTCTTCCTGATGGATGGACCCTGTAATTATTATGTAGTGCCCTTCTTCATCTCTTGTGATTGTCTTTAATTTAAAGTCCAGTTTGTCTGATATAAGGATAGCTACTCCGGCTTTCTTTTGATTTCCTGTAGCATGATATATATTACTTAAGTAAATTTTCTAAGGATATCTTGTTAATGACACCAAAAGGGCAAATGGAAGAAATAATTCAAGCAATATTAACTATATATGAATTCTAAATTGAGTGGATCAAGCTGAGAGTGCTCAGGAATTTCAGAGGCAAACAGTGAGTTGAGAGTCGTAAGGAAATGGTGTCATCAAAGTGGCTGAATTAAGGATGGACTACTTAGTTATGCAGAAAGAGAAAGCTGGAGTAATGCCCCTTTCCTTCTCTCTCAGTGGCAAATTCCTGTTCATCCTTAAAGGCTTGGTAGTACCTTTATGAACCATTTCTCAAAATTGATGACCCCATCCACTGTGCTCCCATAACCCTCAGAACAAACTTGTATTTTGTGAACTGCAACACAAGTGTTCTGTTAAGATGTAAGCTCTATACCACCTGGGGCTGCACCTTTCAACCTGTGATTTCTAGTATGTGGCATATAGCAGTGAATAAATAATTGTATAGTAAGCAATCAGAATTTTACAGCAGATTATCAGGATGGTGGCTTTGTTACTAATGAGTATTCAGGAAGGGGAAGAATTATTTTGGAAAAGAAGCTGTGACATGTTTGAGGAGCTACAAGTGACAGTGACCTATTCAAATAAAAAAATGCCCAGTTATTAGAGACAAAAGACTGAAATGATTTGCTCTCATTTTGTGCTTTTTGGCTTATGAGGTTACTCCTAGATTATCTAGGATTCTCAGAAGTATGGCTACCCAAATCAGAATGAATATTGAATAACTTGACATTTCTGTATACTTTCTTCATAAAATAGAATTCCCAATTAAGGAATTCCTAATTGATTACATTGATTAAGCCTAAACAATGTGAAGAGCACTGTTTCTAAGTGCAATGTGACCTGTTGAGACAGCTTTAAAGAAATCCAAATACCTGTGGGCAACTAGAATCGTTCAAACTGATCTCCATCTTCAGCCTTAGGAGGGCACAGCTTGATTCTCAGTTGTAGTGAGGAGAGAAGGGGCATGGTTGTAGATGATCCACCTCCCCCATCAGGGCTGGGCTGTTCCTATGCTGTTGGTATCCTGGGCCTTAACACTGCAGACGAGGGTAGGTTTAGCCACGTGATGGGGAGGCAGCAGGTGAATAGTGAACCAGTTTCTCATTTCTTGGCTCCCTTGAATTTTGTTTCCTCCATCATTTTGCTCTCCCCCCGCCCCACCACCTGAGTTGAGACAAAAGGGTCAAAAGAGAACTGAGGATGGCAGTGAAAACAGGGCAAGTGAACCCCAGGAAGGTGGCCCTAAGATTCTGCTTTTCTAACAAGCTCCTAGGTGGCTGCTGCTGCTACTCAGAGACCACACTCTGGTTAACCAGGGTTACTGCAATCAATAGAGAAATATTTCGTCGTTGTTGTTAAGTCCTGTTTCATTGTTGTTGCTCTTGTTAAATCCTGGTTTGTTTGTTTGTTTGTTTTGCCTTTTAATAACTGATTTGTTTGATTATCTCTTTGTAGGTATAGAGCACTCCATCTCTGAAGCTTAGGCTTCAAACCTCTATTTAAATTTGCTTGGGCGTCTCTTTAGTAAATAACTGGACTCTATCGCCATCTTCTGGCAAGAAAGATACCTACAGCTTTAAAAAAATTCAGTGTATTTTGTTGTGTACAGAAATTCTCTTTGCAGGAATATATTGAGATGAACACATCTGATACTGCTTCCATGTCCTTTTGAAAAAATAATTTGTTTTAAACAGATAGTTTACAATAATTGTCTCTGTTTTGTCAGCACTTAAGGGTAGAGATGATACTGGGTGTTTTGGAAGTTTTTGAGGTCGGCAGCGCTATTGTGGGTGGGATCTAAATCTTTCAGGGGAACAGGAACTAGACTCAGGGACCACAGTGTTACCCCTGGGAGGTAAAGTTTACTCCGGCAAGTCCCCTCCTCTGTGTGGAAACCTGAGGACTCAAGCCATAAGCCCCTCCCTACACTTACTTCTGCCCTAACTTCAGAACTTAGTGTCTCTCTTGGATGTCCCTGACTCATCAGTATCTTTTCTCTGAGTCTTATAGACATTTCCGACATCTCTTGATGTCATTTCACACGGTGTCCCTGCGTCCTGCTTCTGTCTCAGGACTCATTTCCAGTGACTTAGGTTACAGGTTGAGGGTTAAACAAATGCTCTGACCACTAGAATGATTCTACCTAGTCAATCCTGTGACAGGGGCTCCGGACCTGGCTTCTCACACTGTTCAGTGTGAAATCCCAGGGTTGAGGGGTGGCATGAATTGAATACTTGTTTTGAATTCCCAGGCACCTTACCAGTAGGTGACAAGAGGAAAGGGGGATCTAGTCTTGTGGGCAGGCTCCTGCTGAGCTCACACCATCATCACAGGATAGACCTCCCCAGTCTAGGGCCACCCCCCTACCCAGGTCAAGCTCAAGTCAATTATGGTGGGAGAAGGAGACAGAGTCAATAAACTCAAATGTTTGTGTCCCCAAACTTTCTAAATACTGGGCCAAACAACCTCAATTATTTTCTGTGATGTTTAACCTGGGGATAAATCAAGAATCATGATGTTTAGATAACATTTTAGGCCCCTAATGCTTAGAATAGGCTGAAAGGTGGGCAAAAGGGTAGTCAGTAGATGATCACACATGTCAGGATCTTGTCAAGCCAGCCTCAAGGATGGAATGAAAACAACTAAACAATAAATCTGTGGAAAGTCTCTTTTCTAAGTTACAGTGCTGGTGGGAGTATGAGGGTAGCTGTCTTAGTCTCTCCTCAGGCTGCTATAACCGAATTCCACAGGCTAGGTGGCTTAAAAAACAGGAATTACTTTCTTAAACTCTTCTGGGGCTGGGA